ATTCCTGCTCATGTATTGGTCAGCTGCTCAGAAGCCACGTAGAACGTATGTTCAGATCAAAGTAATTAACGGTTTAAAAATACAAGAAAGCTTGTAAGGCAATTAACCTCAGCAGCGCAGCGTTGCTTCCTAATGTATGAGTGAACGAACGTGTGACTAGGTGAATGGACGGACGAGAGTGAAGACATGCATTAATCTGATGACCTGCAGGCACAGCAATTACATGAAATCGACTGCAAAAACTCAGCATAAAATTTTCGACATAAGTAAAAAGCGATTTTCCTAACGATTTAGAATTCTGATTATAAATTACATCAAAGCTCAGGGATATCGATCACACTTTCGTCGATATTAAATATGGATCATATGATATACCTTAGTTATTTCAAGGGATGAAATTAAATTCTACTTTGTGTTTCATCGGCTTTAAATTTTTGTGCGTTTATTCGTCTGCCATTAAAATTCCATTTAAACCGAAATGCTCTTTGAAATTTATTTCACACCTGCCGTTTTTAAGGTTCCATGTAGTAGAGATGTTTCGTTCGGTGGTTTTTTGGCGGTCATTACGCTGATATGGTGATCGCTTTCGCTTCATGGCGTCTGTCAAATTGCGCAAATCGCTTGGCACATGATGAACAATCGACGGTGGTGCTTTTGCAAGCCTAGTGTTTTTCCGAATCAGGTGTTATTAATTGTATATTTAGCGACAGCCGATGAACCGCGGAGATGTCAACGGCCACCAGTGCTTGACCTCTTGATGTCTTAACGGCAGTCGGTTTTCGACTATGAACAAATCGTGCGTGAGCTGTGATCAACATTCGGCACTTTGTTGAACCGTGGCGTGGCGGTTCCGGGCAGGAAGCGATACCGTTGTCAGACGCCGCCGCCAACGACGACCAGGTGGTCAGCTGCTGTTCCTCGTCTTCAATTGTCTGTGGCCAATAGCTGTGCCTCTTTGAGTCAATTCGTGCCTCGGAATGACCAATGATCATTGACCGAAGCTTTTCGTAGTCCCCGGTCGTTAGGGTGGCTTTGCAGTTGTGAAACGAACCGCATTGAAAGTTTGGTTCGAAGAGCCGTATCGGTCGAATTTTTCCTCAGGCCGCTTCCGCTCGAGGTTCACTTCTCGAAAGCCGCTTGACTCGATGAAATGACGTACGGAATCTAGGCAGTGGACGTGTCGACGACGACTACGGTTCGGAATCACAGCATCGATCATGGGTCTAAATTCGGAATGACAATTCGTCGACGGTGCTTAGCTTCAACGCAGAGGACCATTGCGGTCATCGCAGTCGCCCGTGAAGTCGGCGAAGTTCGAAGTGTCCCTTGACCGTCGCTGCCAAGCATGTGGGTCGTCGCTGCCCGCGGGCCATTTTAGCACCACCACTG